TCAGCACTGCAGTTGCCCGTCGCCCAATCAGGTGTCTTTGAAAGCGTCGCCATGCTTTACATTTCTGTATTCCTTTCCAGGTTCGTGGGCCGACCATGTTTGGCAGCCTTCTGTGCCGAGTGTGCGCGGCGCTAGCGCGACAGCCTCCTTTCGAAAAGGATCCGCCCTCCACCCGTGAAGCTCCTGCAGTCTCTCAGGGCGGATGTGCGCGGCGCTGGGCGAGCACCACAGTCTCAAAAGGGCCCGCTCTCCGTCCGTGAGTTTTCTTGCAGGATGTCAGGACGGATGCGCGCGGCGCTGAGGCGAGAGCCCTACTATGAAAAGGACCCGCCCTCCGTCCTCCTCCTCCTCCCTCCTCCCTCCTCCCTCCTCCCTCCTCCCTCCCTCCTCCTCCTCCCTCCCTCCTTCCTCCTCCCTCCTCCCTCCTCCCTCCTCCCTCCTCCCTCCTCCCTCCTCCCTCCCTCCTTCCTCCTCCCTCCTCCCTCCTCCCTCCTCCCTCCTCCCTCTTCCCTCCTCCGTGAAATTGTTGCACACATCTCATTCTTCAGAGTCGCAACCGGTGAGGACGTTTTCCGGCGAGACGCCCGCCCTACCGACGCGTGTTGGGGTGCGAGAGGGAGGACTTCTTTACAAGGAGGGGGAATTAAAGGAAAGCGATGCAGCACAGCTGTGAGCCTGGGACCCTCCATTTCGTGCCTAGCGGGACGGAGGCGGATCACTGGGGCAATGGTGAGATCATCTCAAGCATGGCATGCCGCGTAATCGTTACAAGTGCACGCTGTACAAGTTTCAGGTCCTTGGCTCCAAACCTTCTTGGACCTGTTTCGCAGAACGCTTCCACCGCACCGAGCATATCTTACCGATCTTTGCGTTTACGCGCGAGATTCCCTTTCTTGCCGCTCGGTGCGATGACAGAGCAGGTGGCCCTGTGGGCTGTTTGCGTGATGAGGCTCATTGCCCACAGTGAATCCATTGCAATGTTGGTTGAGACGAGTTCCAGTGCAAACGCCACAAAGGTTGCCCATGTGAGCACCCTGCACCTAGGCGAGGCTGACGGCTTCGTGCTGGCGATGCGGTTTGCCGCGTCCATCCAATTCATCTTCGACAGCAGCCACTGGACAAACGACGAGCTCGTGGATGAAGCGGATACTGATACGAACAAGAACGCCGATGGCAAGTCCCCAGCGTTTGTTTCCGCCGTTGTGAGCGAAATCAGAGGGTGCCTCCCTGGGGGCTGCAAGACGTACGCGCTCAGGCCTCCCACGACTCTCAAAGACTTGTCCACGAACTCGCCTATTGGGGTAGATACAAGCATGAAATCTGGAGAGTCTCGTTCAACAGCTTCGCGCATTCCGCCGGCCCATGTTGCACCGCCGTCTCACTTTGCCCGTGCGTTCTTGGTGATGGGGAAGTTGCTGGAGAAAGATACTTTTTCCAAGCTGTCGTGCGAAGTCTGCGCGGGGGGAAGCAGTCGCTCGGCGGATGAGGGATAGCTCTCATGGAAACACGCCCGCAACCAAGTTCCCCGCTGGAGCCCGAAGGCGCGAGGAGCTGAGGATCAGGGGAGCTGCTCAGATGTGAGTGTTTCAGGAGGGAAGAAAACACACAGACACAATTAATCGTCGATTCCCCAGAAAATATGGGAAAATATGAGAAGTGGGGGGGAAGACAGAAACCCAGAAAACATGAGAAAATATGGGGGATGTGTTTATTTAATCGCTTCGCTCATTCCGCCGGCCCGTGTTGTGCCATCGCAGGCGTTTGCTTGCGCGTTCGTGGCCTCTTGGAGCCTCGGTGGGGCCGTTTGGGGCCTCTTGGCGCCTCTTTTTAGGCCTCTTGGAGAACTCGGGAGGCCTCCAGGGGGCCTCCTGAGCTCTCGTGACGGTCTCTTGGGGGGCTTTCGGCGGGCTCTTGGCGGTATTTGTTGGTCCTCTTGGGGCCTGGGGCCTGACGTTGTTGGTCCTCTTGGGGCCTCACGGGAGCTTATTGGGGCGTCTTGGGGGTGTCTTGGAGAGTCTCTTGGGGCCTCTTTCGGGGTCCTGGGCGCCTTCTGGGGCGGAGGGCTCGATTTTTCAGTTCTCGGTTCCCTTCTTGAGCCCCTCTTGGGCCCGTCTTGGGGCCTCTTGGTCCGCCTTGGGCAGCACTTGGGCCGTCTGGGGGGCGCTCTTGGGCCGCTCCGGGGCCGTCTTGGGAGCCTCGTGGGCCGTCTTGGAGCAGTCTTGAAGGCCTCTTGGGCCCTCTTGGAGCGTCCGGAAGCGAAAAGGCCAGAACGCAAAAAACATAGAAAAAACGAATGAAAATCAACGGTTTTGGCAACTTGGGGCCCTCTTCGGAGGCCTCTTGGAAGGCCCTTGGAGCGTCTTGGAGGCCTCTTGGGCTGTCTTGGGGCCATCTGGGGCGTCTTCGGGCGATCTTTGGCCGTCTCGGGCCTCGCTTGGACCGTCTAGAAAGCTTCTCGGGGCCTTCTTGGACCGATCTGGAGCCCTCTTGGACTCCGAAACAGAACTCCGGCATCTCTGACCCGACCTTGCCGCGACCTTGCCGGGGACTTGCCGGGGACTTGCCGGGGACTTGCCGGGACCTTGCCGGGGTACTTTTCGTCCGGGAACCCCCAGGGGCCGCCCCGCGCGCGCGAATTAGAAATATTGTTAACCAGGTGCCGGAGATCTTAGCACGCCCTGGCCCGTTGGGCCGGCGAATTTGTGTGTATTTGTTTGTGGGTCCTGGGGCCCCTCTCAGTGTTGGCCAGCCCTCTTCCCAGGCCGTCGGAGCCTATTGGTGGACTCCCGGGGCCTCGGGGCTGTTTCTGGGGGCACCTGGGGATTCTCTCGGGAGCCTCTCGGGAAAGTCGCCGAACGTTGTGCATTGATGTGCACGCGCCAGGGCCTTGAGCTGCTGGTGTGATCAGGTTGAACCACTATCCTCTTAGAGTTTCAGATTTCAGATTTCCTCGGGGGCTGCGTTGGGCAGTGTTGGACCACCCTGGGGCGATCTTGGGGAGTCTCGAGGCAGTCTTGGGGCCATCTTGCCGCCTGCCGCTCGTCGATCCCCACTGTGGGGCCGATTTTGTGGCTGTCTTGTGGGATCATGACTCATGAGGCCTTCTCGGGGCTCCCCTGTGCCCTCTTGGCCACCCCTCGGGGCCGGAGAAGGCAACTGGGTCGCACAAGGGCGAGAAGGGCAAACGCAAGACAATGATGTTCGATGCTATTTGCTTTCCAAGCCTCCGAAGGGGACTTCTTACGCTATATCTGGCCATCTTTCCAGTGCATTGGCCTTTCTATGACCATCTTCGGGCCATGTTGCAGCCATCTTGCGGCAATTTTAGGGCCTGGCATATTTTGACCCGCCCTCTTGGGCTCTCTTAGGGCTTCCGAGTGCCACAGGCCTGGCAGGAGAGAGTGATAATTACAACGTTGTCACAAAGAGGGCTCCCTGCTGATCAATACTTTCATGCTGTCACCGCACGGCACCATGTCCATGTGCATGTTGTGTTCTCATTGCTCCGTGCCAAGGAGGCTGGTCCTCAGAATGCGTAGCTGTAGCAGGAGATGCGACAGCCTAAAGCAGGTTGCTTCAGCGGCCGCCAAAGAAAAAGAAGTATTGGCACAAGCAGGTGCACGTTGGTGGTCACAGTGCGTGTGCTCCACGAACGGCGTTAGTCTCAGGCGGTCTACACTCTACAACGCGCGACGCGCTGCTGCGGGGCGTTAGGATTCAACGCGCTTGTACACGCTCTCAGCTGTCGGCGCTGCTCGCAGAGCGTGGAGCATACAAGCCAAAATGGCCGACAGCAGCGGCAAGCATTTAAGGATGGCGTACCTCCTTCCCAGCCCCGGGCTCGGCCTTGCGCGTGCGCCGGGCCCCGCTGATGACCCGCTTCCTTTCCAATCTCTCGCTGGAGTCGCCAGGCGGGAATGTTCGTGGACCGCGCGCTCGAGAAGGTAACGGCGCGCTCCGACTGCCTGGGCGAGCGCGTCGGCCGGTATCCGTGCGACGGCCGGCCCAGAGAAGTTCTACTTGCCCGCGGCGCGCTCAGGTTCTGCAGCGGCGCCAGTCCCCACAGAAGAACGCCTTCCATGCTGCGCCTGGCGCGCGCCCCCTCCCTCCCTCCCCCCGTGACGCTACCCCTCCCCTACAGGATGCAACTCCGGCGCCGGTCGATCCCTCATCGAAGGCCGGCCCAATCTGGATCAATCCCGCTGCACCTCGTCGAATCCGGCTCAGTCCTGGGCTTGATCCAGCCTCGTGCGGCTCCATGTCCCCCGAAGCGGGTTGCATGGCCCTGAGTCTCTCTGGCGAAGACTTCCCAGGACTTTGCCTCCTAAACCCCGCCCCGTGACGCTTCCCCCCACCCCCCTCCCCCCCCTGGACACTGCCGCGGCTCACGCATGCGCCGCAGCCTCGCAGCAGTGTGCGCTCGTAGCGCCTGGGTTGCGCTCGCAGGGGCGGCTGTGGTGCTCGTGGGCTGCTTGCGGTCGTGTTGTTCGCAGGCTACGGTGGTGCTCGCAGGCTGCCGTGGGGCTCACTGGCTTGTGACCTCGCACACGTGATGTTGCGCTCGCAGATCAGTGAGGCGCATGCAGGGTCCGGCATGCAGTTGCGTATCGGTGTGGGGCATCCATCTTGTTCAGAGGGACTCATAGGGAGCGATGTCTACTCTGATGCTCTGTACCGTGCTCTGGGGGAGCTCGTTCATGAACGAGGAAATGGCGTGAGCCCTGTCGGGCAATTTTCTGCGTCCGCCCTCTCCGTTTCCTTGCTCGGCCGAGTCTGACGCGCTTTTGGCCCAATGGGCTTGTGAATTCTAATGTCAGGCTGTGGGCTAAGTATGCAGGCCGGAATGGATGGAGTGAGCAGACACATTGGATGGATTCTGGCATCAATTTCAAAGACGATTGTTGCCCAAATGTATATTATGCCAGAGTGCGTTTCGGCGCCGTTTTCAATCATCTGGGCTTCGCCGTCAACGACGCCATCGGCTTCGGCGCAGCGGACGCATGCGACGAGAATGTGGGCGCGGGTGCTGCGCTTTGAAAGTGCCATACGTATCCAGTACATGGCACAATTTGGGTCAAAGTGGATATCAGCCCGACTTCGTCCCGACGCCCAGTCCAACAAGCAGCCCGACCATGAGCCCGCCCTCACCGACTCCAGCACCAGCGCCCGCTCAGAGTTCGGCCGTTGGCGATCCGCATATGCTGAATGTACATGGCGAGCGGTTCGATTTGACGGCGCCAGCTAGCCATGTCTGGATCAACATCTCTCGTGGAGAGCGCGCTGAAAAAGCATTGCTTCGCGTGCAGGCCAATGCGCGCCGAATGGGTTCCTAGTGTGCGGACATTTACTTCACCGAAGTGAACGTGACCGGGCATTGGGCAGAGGCGAAGAAAGCCGGAGGGTATCATCACAGCGCATCGCAAAGCGAAGGCAGTGCTCCAGAGTGGGTTGCCCTTGGCACAGTCGAGCTGAAGATCGTTCCCGGGCGTGCGGACACTGGCTTGTCGTACTCGAACGTGCACGCGAAGCACTCGGCACGAGCGGGGTTTGTTGTCGGAGGCCTGCTGGGCGAAGATGACCACAGCGACGTGAGCGCGCCCGCGACTCAGTGCACGCAGCAGATGACAGGGCTGGACCTAAATGGTGTCTTTGGCGATTTCGTGGGCCGTCTTGTTTTCGACTTCGTTTTGAGGTAAAGGCGTATTCGAGACAAAAGCGATGGAAAACGAAAACAAAACGATTACAGCCAGAGTGCAGGATCCCCAAACAGGGTTTTTACACCCACTGCGGTTTCCAAGGTCGATCGCGTGCCCGTCCAGTGCGGGCTGGCATGGCATGTTAGAACATGCCTTCTCCTCCTCCTCCTCCTCCTCCTCCTCCTCCTCCTCCTCCTCCTCCTCCACCTCCTCTTCACCCCGAACGGCATCTCGGAGCCCAGAGGTGCGAGGATGTCTCCAGCGTAACGGGCTGGACCACCTCGCGCGCGGCATCTCGGACCCCAGAGTTGCGACGATGTCTCGGGCGAAACGTGCTGGGGCCTCCTGGGGCCTCCTGGGGCCTCCTGGGGCCTCCTGGGGCCTCCTGGGGACAGCACGGGCGCCAGCACGGAGGCTGGAAAAAGAAGTGAGCTGCTTCTTTTCGCGATGTAAGCCCGTCTAGCTCGGCCTCAGACTCTGCCCATTTTGATGGCGGGTCTGGCGCATTTGAAGCATGCGCCCAGGGCGACCGCAATTTGATCGGTCAAACTGGCGCGCGTGAGTTTCTCTGCGAATATCCCGCGAATCCAGGCGTAGCTGGAGTGACGGATTGTGTGCATAGTTTTCTGCAGAGTTCTGTGCTCTGCGGCTTGGGTCCGCTTGATCATTTCGAGTGGGCTCTGGGGTTGCCGTCGTGTGAAGGCCCCCTGGCAGTTCCTGACTCGGTGTCCTCTCATCCTGTGGCCTTCTGGACCCCACCTGGGGCTTCCCGAAGCCTCTTGGGGTTCCCAGGGGGGGATATCTAACATGTGGCCGTCGGGGCCCCCCAGAATGGGGGGGCCACAAGAGCAGGAAAAATCAACGAATCGACACCGGATGTGTATTAACTTGACACGTTCTGATAAGGGGCCTCCTGGGGCCTCCTAGGAGCCTCCTGGGAATCTCCTGGGGACCCCTGGGGCCTGTCCTGGGCGTCCTGCGGCCTCCTGAAGCTCTCTGGGGCCTCCTGGGGCTCCCATGGTCCCAGGGGGGATATGTAACATGTAACATGTGGTATTCTGGGCCCCCAGACTGGAGCACCTCTTGGGCGGCATCTGGGGGCTCAGAGTTGCGAGAATGTCTTGTACGAAACGGGCCGGACCACCTTGCGCACGGCATCTCAGAGCTCAGAGTTGCGAGGATGTCTTAGGCGAGACGGGCCGGACCACCTCGCGCAGGGCATCTCAGAGCTCATAGCTGCGAGGATGTCTCAGGCGAAACGGGCCGGACCACGTCGAGCGCGGCATCTCCGAGGTCAGAGTTGCGAGGATGTCTCAGGCGAAATGGGCTGGACCACCTCTTGCGCGGCAGCTCAGAGCTCAGAGTTTCGAGAATGTCTCAGGCGAAACGGGCAAGACCACCTCGCGCGCGGCATCTCAGAGCTCAGAGTTTCGAGGACGTCTCAGACTAAACGGGCCGGACCACTTCTTGCGCGGCATCTCGGAATGCAAAAACGCGAGGATGTCTCAAGCGAAACGGGCTGGACCACCTCTTGGGCGGCATCTCGGGGCTCAGAGTTGCGTTGATGTTTCAGGCGAGATGGGCCGTACCACCTCGCGCAGGGCATCTCGGAGCCCAGAGTTGCGAGGATGTCTCCAGCGTAACGGGCTGGACCACCTCGCGCGCGGCATCTCGGACCCCTGAGTTGCGACGATGTCTCGGGCGAAGCGTGTTGCGAGGAAGTCTCAGGCGAAACGGGCCGGACTACCTCGAGCGCGGCGTCTCAGAGTTCCAGGTTGCGGGGGCCTCCTGGGGCCTCCTGGGGTCTCCCGGGGCCTCCTGGGGACCTCCTGGGGCTTCCTCCTGGGCCTCCTGTGGCCTCCTGGACCCTGCCTGGGGCTTCCTGAAGCTTCTTGGGGCTCTCAGGGGGGATGTCTAACATGTGGCCGTAGGGGCCATACAAAAGGGCGGCGGGGGCCACAAGAGCAGGAAAAATCAACGAATCGACACCGGATGTGCATTAACTTGACACGTTCTGATAAGGGGCCTCCTGGGGCCTCCTGGGGCCTTCCAGGAGCCTCCTGGGAATCTCCTGGGGACCCCTGGGGCCTTCCCAGGGTCTCAGAGGGGGATATCTAACATGTGGTCTTCTGGGCCCCCAGGCTGGACCACCTCTTGCGCGGCATCTGGGAGCTCAGAGTTGCGAGAATGTCTTGTACGAAACGGGCCGGACCACCTTGCGCACGGCATCTCAGAGCTCAGAGTTGCAAGGATGTCTTAGGCGAGACGGGCCAGACCACCTCGCGCAGGGCATCTCGGACCCCAGAGTTGCGACGATGTCTCGGGCGAAACGTGCTGCGAGGAAGTCTCAGGCGAAACAGGCCGGACCACCTCGAGCGCGGCGTCTCAGAGCTCCGAGTTGCGGGGGCCTCCTGGGTCCTCCTGGGGCCTCCTGGGGCCTCCTGGGGACCTCCTGGAGCTTCCTCCTGGACCTCCTGTGGCCTCCTGGACCCCACCTCGGGGCTTCCTGAAGCTTCTTGGGGCTCCCAGGGGAGGATATCTAACATGTGGCTGCGGGGCCCTACAAAAGGGCGGGGGGGCCACAAGAGCAGGAAAAATCAACGAAACGACACCGGGTGTGTATTAACTTGACACGTTCTGATAAGGGGCCTCCTGGGGCCTCCTGGGAGCCTCCTGGGAATCTCCTGGGGACCCCTGGGGCCTGTCCTGGGCGTCCTGCGGCCTCCTGAAGCTCTCTGGGGCCTCCTGGGGCTCCCAGGGTCCCAGAGTGGGATATCTAACATGTGGTCTTCTGGGCCCCCACGCTGGACCACCTCTTGCGCGGCATCTGGGAGCTCAGAGTTGCGAGGATGTCTCAGGCGAAACGGGCCGGACCACCTCTTGCGCTGCACCTCGGGGCCCAGAGTTGCGAGGATGTCTCAGGCGAAACGGGCCAGAGCACCTTTTGCGCTGCACCTCGGGGCTCAGAGTTGCGAGGATGTCTCAAGCGAAACGGGCCGGACCACCTCGCAAGCGGCATCTCGAGGCTCAGAGTTGCGATGCTGTCTCAGGCGAAGCGGGCCGGACCACCTCTTGCGCTGCACCTCCGGGCCCAGAGTTGCGAAGATGTCTCAGGCGAAACGGGCCGGACATCTCGGAGCCCAGAGTTGCGAGGATGTCTGAAGCGAAATGGGCTGGACCACCTCTCGCACGGCATCTCGGGGTTCAGAGTTGCGAGAATGTCTCAAGCGAAACGGGCCGGACCACCTCGCAAGCGGCATCTCGAGGCTCAGAGTTGCCAGGATGTCTCAAGCGAAACGGGCCGGACCACCTCTTGCGCTGCACCTCGGGTCCCAGAGTTTCGAAGATGTCTCAAGCGAAACGGCCCGGACCACCTCTCGCGCGGCGTCCCGGAGCGCAACTTTTCGAGGATGTCTCAGGCGAAACGGCCAATCCCGGCCATGTCAGAAACGAGAGTTGTGAGGATGTCTCAAGCGAAACGGCCCGGACCATCACATTTTTGTGAGGATGTATCTGCTTTCCCTTGGCCGGAGTTAGCCTCTATCACAACAGCACCCCGCTCAGCAAGCTGTTTGGGGAAAAACGAAAAACACCGTTTAGGTTCAGCCCTGGCAGATGAGTCTGAACAGTGGCGTTTACCGAGCGGCCTCGACCGCGGAGGGGTCATTCGCCCGACGAGCAGGAGGAGGAAGAGCAGGATGGGGAAGGAGACGGAGAAGGAGTGGCGGGGGGCGCCGACCCTTCAGAGCGAGGACCCAACGCCACAGGATTTTTTGTTTTCTTAACAAGATTCCCCAACCGGTCCTTGCACTCATGGTTTTTACGTATTCGCCATAAGGAACTGGGCCCGTCTGGCGGTCCTGCGGCTATGTCGTCGCCGTCGCCGCCGCCCCGCCGCCGCCTCGTTGCTGCCCGTCGTCTGGGCCTGTCAGGCGGTCTGGCGGCGGCCTCGTCGCGGTCGCCACCGTCCGTCGCCGCCTCGTTGCCGCCTGACTGGGCCTGCGCGTCGGGTCCGCCGCCTTGTGGTTGCCGTCGCCGCCCCGTCGCCGCATCGTTGCCGCTTGCACTGTTTTTCATTGCTTTGGATTGCTTTGCGTTGCTGTAACATTGTTTTGCACCGCATTGCCGCATTGCGTTGCTCGGCATTGCGTTGCATTGCATTGCATTGTATTGCGTTGTATTGCTTTGCATTGCTTTGCGTTGCGTCGCATTGCTGTGCAACGCTTTGCATTGCATTGCTTTGCAATTGCTCCGCGTTGCAATCACATTGCTTTGCGTTGCTTTGCGTCGCATCACGTTGCAAGCTGGTACGGGGTCTCCGTGACGAGAGGATGAGAAAGAGTGGATGAGGAATTGTGGATGGTGTAGGATGGGCGGGAAGGCGGTGGTGTAAGATGGTGCCTTTCGCACCAGAGCTCCTCCTGCGGCTATTCGCCCTGGCGCTCCTCCTGCCCCCTCCTCCTCTTCCTCTGCCCTTCTTGAGCCTCTGCCCTGCTTCATTCCCGCTCCTCCTCTCCCTCCCCCTCTCTTCGCCCCCCTCCTCCTCCTCCTCCTCCTGCCCCCCTCCTTGCTCATCCTCTCTGCCCCCCTCCTCGCTCCTCGCTCCTCCCTTCAGGGAGGCAGCATGCGCGTGCATG